CTTTAATTAAGTTCGTCATTGTGCACAGTAATCAACCAAAATAAGTATAAAATAGGAACAATTTCGGAAAATGGAACAATATTCCTTATTAAAATTACTATTTCTTTTTTCTTTTATTTTTTGTTTCACAAATTATACGTATACATATATTTGGCCATCTGATTTTCGATAATATTACTATATTTGCCAATTAATTTTCGATTACATATATTTGCCAATTGATGCCAATTTACATGTCTACAATTCTACTTTACAAACATTGTTGTCAACTAGACTACACTAGACACACTCCAGTGTTGCGCCACTGAATTACTATCAATTTAATAAGTCCAGTAGCTTTTAACTGCTGGACATAGCGATAGTAAAGTGATAACACTATTTAAAACAATCTTACTCTACATACAATATATAAAACAATCTTACTGTACATACAATATTTAACTATGTATTGAGTTCTTAAATTTAAATTGAAAATAAAAGCTTAGTACTTATTGCTTATTTTTAAACATATATATTTCATAAACTTTCATAATTTCTGCAAACTTTTATCAATTTTGTATTGCCGCTTATATTCTTTTTGTTTGTTTTTTTTGTTGACATCATTTCGACAGTTCATTTTCACCTGTCGCTGATGCGAGTTATTTCGCTTCGAACTATTTTTTGTGCTTTTTATTCTTCTTGCTTCCGTATTTCAGATAAGAATCCGAAGATTTTATAGCGGATGGATTTTTATCATAATTACGGATGAGAGTCGGTTGAATTCATAAGAAATTTGGAGAATTGATAGGTGAATTGGACTTGGCACCTTTTCCTAATCTTATAAAAATCGAGTTTAAAATTCATAAGAATAAAGCTATTAAGTCTTCCTTTCCACTTTTTCCACTCAAAAATTACCACCATAAAATAAAGTTAAGGAAAGGGAATTATGTTCCATATCAGGCATTCTTCTAGGTCTTTTACGGATGGTTCGATATGGCCTTTGATTTACAAGCATTCGATTAACTTGACTTGCGAGGTCAATAAAATATTCTTTATCACTTCTTGTTGTATGTTCGTCCCAAATACATGTTGTAATTTGCTTAATAGTCCTTGAGCATCGTATATTATTTCTATGACATTCTGGTATGACAACAAGTTGTAGAGCTTTAAATCCGGTAAGCTCATCACCACAACGATAAGATCTAGCAAGGTCACCGGCATCGTAGTTTTGTCGTAAAAGTCCAGAATTCAAGACGTGATAAGAAAGTCGTGTAATTTCAGACATTATTACTTTAAAAGATCTCGAGGACGAAGAATTGAAGGTAAAAAAAAAAAGGTCTATTTTACTTTAAAAGATCCCAAGGGCGAAGAATTGAAGTCAAAGGAAAAAATGGCCTATTTATCCATTTTTTGGATATCAATTTCCGTTTCTTTTTTTTGGACAACAAAGTAAAAACGGAAAAAACGGAAAAATAAATATTTACACGCTTGGCATATTGCACTATTGTAATTTATTACAACTTGCAGTTTTAACCAATGATCATATATGATTTACGCGGAAAAATGGAAGAACGGAAAAATCTTGCAGCGTGTGCAATGAGGTCGGAAATAATTCGGAATAATGGAAAAATTATGACAGCCACATTTAATATTAAACGCCAACATGATTATTCTGTATTAATAATAGTTATTAATAAATTCAATAAATTAACTTTCCAAATATAATCATTCTTTATTATCGTAATATGAGATTTACTTAATAAGTCATCCGTTTTTTTTAAAATAATACTTCTTTGAGATTATTTGATTGTATTTATCAACTTAGAAATTTGATCTGCCTGCATAAACTTTACGATCAGACCCGTTTTTTTTTTCTTAAAAAAAAAAATAAAAAAAACAGTCATAACATAAACATTACAACATTATTGTTAATTTAGAAATTTTCTGGTCACTATGTAAGATTGCAAGTGTAACTATTTACAAATTTCTTGATATCAAATAGTTTTTAAACCGTAAATAATACATATTTTAATAGTCTAATAAGTATTAGTAATGGTGTGTAACGGCCTACGTATTAAAACGTAGGCATCAATATATCATATGCTATTTAATAAAGTTACGTCTATTATGATAAATTAAAGATATGACACCCGCGCGGTAAGCCTAGCATATATTTCATCATGTGGTCTCGCGCGAGATATAGCTCATGTGATTTATTCGTGCAAGACTCTATAACAAATACTAAACAGATTAGACAAATGCATACTATATATATATATATATATCTTAAATTGAACGTCTCAATTAGTTCTACATCGATATAGCTTAACACAGCTATGACAGTATGTATAATTATGAAAATTAAGTACTATACAGTATAGAAAATACAGAAATGGGAGACATGAAGGAAAAATCAATTACACTAGCATAATATGATAACCATAAAGCATAAAATGAACAATTAATATGTTCTTTATTTAAAACTAATTATAATCGTTCTCATAATGGCTCTTTTTCAACACTAAGTGTGTTAGCAAAACAATTAAAAGGCAGAAAAAAAATTTTATGATGCTTCAAATCAAGGACTTCTATACCTTAAAGTGTTAATTACACGCATGTTCAAAATTGGAGTTGAATTTTATTGATAAATGTACTTTACGTTTATCATTATGTATAATTAAAATTGAGACGGGATAAGTTCCTGGAGAATAGAAATTGATATTGCATAGGACTATGGTTGTGTTTCTTTATGAATTTATCTTTATTATTATTTTCATGCCCGCCCTTATTGGTTTAATGATTACTGTATACGGAAGGTAATGATTATAAGTTATCCCTGAACTTGATTGTGCAAATTCGGCCCCATTCCTGTCATTCGTTTCATGAGGGTTGTGTAGGGCTCCAGTGTAGCTTTCTTTCTTTTTTTTTTGTTATATTAATTTCATTACCAGTTCTTTTATTTCCTTTCTAGATTCTTATAGGGATTTTTAGTTAGTATGTACAGTAGTTCGATAAATCTCCAAAAATAGAAAATAGAGAATCATCACTTATTTGTAAAGGCGCGAAGTTCATTTCGATTTCGTGAACTTATCCGATAAATAATTAATTGGGTTTACCCAATTAATCGCATTTACCCGCAGTTACATGGAATTTTCTTGGATAGTACCTCTTGACCTTCGTTCACAAATCATGTGATGCACGTGATTACGTTCGTATTACTATAACCTCATTTCACTACTTCATAGTAAATTAATTGATTTCATATTAGCTTTATTAGATTATTATTTGATAAACTTAGTATTAAGTAGAAATATTTATCGTGTTGTATATCGTAATCATCAAAACATGTATATATAGACCTTGTACTTGCACTAGTCTTGTCTTTAGACTTCGTTCTCACCAAATTTCCTATTAATAAATATATAATTACGACTACTTTTATCCTCTATACATTTAGTTATTGCCTCTTTCTATAAAACTTTAAATCCTCTTATAACCGATGCCATATTAATTCGCCATATCACTAAGTTATAGCCACCATGCTATAACCAACATGTCACCTGAATTCTATTAAGAGGTGAATTCCAAGTGTGACGCCGTTTTATCTGCCTCATCAGCTTCAAAGTACTAGTGTAGGAAACTAGTACATGGAGTACAATAACGATCGCGCATTTAGTAGGGAGGAGCAGTTGCTGGGAGGCGACGTAGTCAGTAATGGCGCGTCGTGGGTAAACCGAACGCTGGTAACCAGATTGAGGTCCACTAGTACACAAGATTGGCAACCTAACCAGCTCCAAACCCTACAGTGAATGCGTAAATGGAAACCCTGAAGTGTTAATTAGTCAAATAGTAGTAAAATGTTTACGTTGAACCTTTAGGACCTGTTCACCAATGGGAAACCTGTCACTGGGCTTGTAGATATTGGCCTGGGAATTATAGTACCAGTAACCCAATTTCGAACGTCTATAACAGGGAGTCTCTAAAAACTACAAGATGTTGAGGATGTAATCGTCCTTTCTAGTTAACATGGATTAGTCTATTTTATGGATTCACGTTGATAAACGAATCGTTAGTCACTTAGTGAAGAATACTGTTGATACCTATCACAGCCACCGTCGAAGGCACTATGTTGGCAACACTGACCTCAAAGCCGGAACCCCCTAAAGCCTAAGGTACCGCGGAGAGAGGGAAACTTGTCTCGCAGCAGCAGGCCGAAAGACCTGTGGATGGTTAAAATCCGAAGGATATATCATGAACTGGAGGACACCTCAGTTTACCTTAATGGTAGAACAGGTGCGAAAGAATGATTTTGCATGTGACTGAGGAACATGATGACATCGAAAGCTGGAATGGGAAATCGGCGCTAAAGTCCTACGGGCTCACTGCTTCGGTAACCTATGGACAATGCTCAACGACTGTATGGCAGTGGGTGAGGGTATAGAGGCAACCAAATTTTTTAAGATTTGGCTCTGGAATTTATACCGTTGCTTAAGATACAGTCTAAAGAAGCCCGAAAGGGTAGTGGGTAATGAAAGGGAGAATAGTAGTAAAGGCATTTTTCATGAGGAACGTTGTAATTTGCGATCATGAAATTTGTGCTATTCGAACGCTCACTATAGGAACCTAGCATTAGTCCGTCCCAGTATAGGTGCCCCTTCCTGAAACAGGAAGTAGCCACCCCTTGGGTAGTGATTTAATTGCGAAAGACCACGTATTTGGTTGCAAGTAGTTTGGTTTTACTATTCTGTGCCTCTACAATTAATATAAATCGTGGTTAGGACGTGCTAGTTACAGTTTCTGAGAAAGATGACCCAACCTTAGCCTGATTATTATCATTTAGGTTGAAGTGTACCGAATCGAAAAACCAATCGGATTTTAATGTTGAACGAGGGTTCGTTCACATGAGGAAATTCGAGAGGAAGGAATGAATTTTGTGGAAACTATTATAAGATTTCCCCGACCGGTCCGTTAGCGGGCAGCAAGGGAGTTAGCCAGGGCCCTAGAAAAATAGGTGTACTAAGATGGATAGCATGCGGGGCTATACGCTAGCCATCCTTCCGCGAAACGCTGGTTATTGGCGCCTGAGTATATCTCCTCTGAGGCATATCAGAGTGGTTCCCAACGTTAGCAATATGGAAATGGAAATCCAGATTGCATCCTACGACCTCCCTATTGGACGAAGGTACAGCAAAGCTACCCAGGTTTGCGAGGGGAGAGCAAATCTCGCTCGAACGTGTAAATAAAAGTCGGTTCACGTATTCACATAATAGGAGGTTTCTTAAAGAATGAAACGATGCAAAATTCTGAGATTTGGGAGAAAGACTGTCACTCTATATTGCGTGTGTTAATCACAATCAAAGGTTACATGACCCAATTCATCAAAAGGATAGTGGAGTTTTCTAAATAGTGTCCAGTGTCTTGCAAAGTGTATTCAATAAAGTGGATCTACATCGCGCGCTGCCGCGCCACGGTGCGATCGATGGTTCGAGATGGAAACTTTAGTGAATACATGGCTAAGTCAAGATTTCTGGGTAGCACTATGATTCAAAACTTTATGAAAGTATTGATGAGAAGCTAAATGTAACTGATGTTAGCGTAATATTGGGCGTCATTAATATAGTTGACTTAAAGGGTCTATGCTTGTATCTGCTTTATATGGTTCAATTTCAAAACCTGTATTAATATAAGCATGTAAAAACTATATAAACGATGCTTTTCGCTTCAATAAAGATAACTCAGATAGATTTCAATATTGTAAAAGTATTTGCTCTAACTCTTTCCCAGATAAGTCAAATCCGCATAAAGGATTAGTTGTTTAATCCCGTGATCCCGAATTAGAGCTCGTGACGTAATAGAGCTCTAAACTAGCATATCTGAAATGTGTGTCAGGTTTGTGGCGCCATTGTGGCACATATTGCTTTAACTACGAATCTGATTTCACGATAATGTGTAATGTAACACGAACTAAAAAATTCAAAACAAGCGTTTTTTTATTTCTCGAAAATCTGTATAAGAAACCACATATTTGAAATTCAAATATTTGATCAAGTCAGATATTGAATTGAAATACAAACTTTGGCTTGATTTTGAGAAGCACTAGGTAAAGTTAAGCAACATTAAATAAGTATAACTCAATAGCAAATTTAATTATATATAGTGGGTTCTTTTATAGCTGATGACCAACCATTTTGTACTTAACTATGTTATTATCAACTTTAGTGCTCTAATAAAAAGTTTTCAGTTGGCAATTTTACTATATAAACACCCTCTTTCTAGCCCCTACCTCTAACTCTTACCTAACATTAACGAACTTTAAAGTAATTTCGCTGCGCCATAAACTAATACCCTAATTACTCGGACCAAATCTCACCACGCTTCGATCGTAGCCTGCCACTATTAGGGGTTAGGTTAGATGATGATTTAGTGTGTTGTTTTAGGTAGTAGTGTTAGTTGATATCTGTGTTACCCATATTTTGTGATTCTCGCAATTACTACCTTTGCAGGGTACATCACCCTGCTTAGCATCTTTTCAATCTGTCGACTTCACGAGAATCATACTTGTGTTACAATCTTTTCATGTGATATCAAAGCAAATCCAGTGTAACTGACAATCGAGGACACAGTCACTTGATTTCCTACCTCAATTTATTTTGTCCTGACGTGAAAATTGCAATTTTATGGTATAGGAAGTGTGATCGGCATTAAAAAAACATATCAATTTGTATAATGAATTCTTTCGAAACAATAATTTTGCTAAAGATTTGAATTGCAAAAATTTCGCAATTCAATGTTTTTACAATTTTCTTTACATCGACATTAAATTAAAAAAAGAAATGTGACGGATTAAAATGAAATCAGGTCAAAATGAAATATTGTACAATGTAAAAAATAAGTAGCTGTGCGACATTGTCACACAAAACCAGAAGCAAAAGGTGGATTTTCAGAGAGTTACAGGTTAAACCAGTTTTGGCATAAATTTATATTTGCTTCTATATTTAATTTTATCAATTTTATCAACTTTTACTAGGTTCACTTTCAACTTTAATCTTAGATTAATATACAGTAATTTGGATACTTTAACGTTATTTAGTCAGATTCTATATACAATATAGGCAGATTAGTATTAATAAATTAGTATAGATATAGCATTCTTGTATGTATGTGGTCTTTTACTAATAAATTCTTCGCTTTTGTTCTTGTTTTTTTATTTAAAGTAACAAATGATATAATGAACATTTGTTCAATTAGTGTATTTAAAATAAATAATTTATACCATATTAATTATTGTTGCAGATTAAAATGAAATCAGATTAAAATGAAATGGGGACCTCTCTTGCTCCCCTTTAAAGCTTATAAAACCCACTTATACTCTTTTTTTTAATAAACCTAACACTAAACCCTAACCCTAAAAAATGTCTCCCAAAATTTTTTAAATCATCCCTAAAAAATATTAAATTTTCATTTTAATCTGATTTTATTTTAATCTGTCACAATTATTTTATATTTTTTTAATTAGCAAATTGCTTTTTATTTGATTTGGTGAGTACAATGATCATTTATTGATAGAAGATTCAAAATAGCATTTTGTTTCTTATTAACTATTTACCTGTATTGATTTAATGTTAAACTATATAAAATCTAATTTTCATAATAAAATTTATTGAAATTCATATAGATTATATAAATTGTAGTTGTTTATTTAATTAGAATATTTAGCAAAGTTATCAGCATGCTAGTTTAAAATACATTAAAACAGTAAGGTAATGATAATAAATTATTATTAAATGTAAAATCAATTTGAACCATCATGACATGCCATATAAATAGATTTAAAAATAGACATGCAATAAATGAAATATACTGTATGTAAGAATTAGGGTTCTACAAATGCCTATACCAGACAAATTGGGCATCAAGCTAGCACTATTACTTTGAGCCGTGCCTGTGTTCCTAGACACAAAATTGCAGATACATTATGGGTATGGGCAGGTACTATAAGGGCACAGACACAAATGTTGCAGGCACTAAGTGATGACTTATGCCTGTCACTTCACATGAAAGTTCTTGGTTACATTTTTGTATTTATGCCTATGCTCATGCCAACCCATACTAAACTTTTGTGCCTGTGTCTATACCTGTGTGTGCCTATATCTATGTCTGTACCTAAGAAATTGTGCCTGCACATTGTCTATGCTTTTTGTTAGGCATGAGTCTGACCTACAGATCCCTAGTAAGAATGCATAAGAGCTAGTTAAGTATGAATTATTATAATCAAGTATAAAGTATTAAAAACCAAAGAATTAGATGGTTATGATTTTTACTGTATTAATAACAGTAAGCATGTTAGGAAAGCAATAAAAGGCTATTTCTTAAGCATATGCTTTAAATATATATATCTTTGAATTGTTAAACTTAGGATAGCTAAAGTGGGCAAATATAGAAAGATGAAATTTTACAAAATATGAAAATATAATAAATTCATGATTAAAATTAATTTCAAGATTGGTTAATAAATATGTAAAAGTTTAAATTAAATTAGTAATTATTGAATAAATTCAAGCTTATGTAATGATAAAATTATATATTTAACAGAATAAACTGTTATAAGCCCTTTTTATACAAGTTAAGTAAAAATAAATCAGATAAACAAACTAAAAGACTGTATAGTCAAAACAGTGATCAAAAACAAGTAAATCAAAAAATAACTTTATATTTATATCATTGGTTTAAAAGCCACAATAATATAGTAAAGTTTAACTTTTAAATAGATTTCTATACAAAAAATTTATTATACTAGCACGCTATCAGTTGCTCTGCCATGGTTCTGTAAAAATTTATAATAATTGTAAAAGTTTAATCAGGAATCTGTAATTTTCATTAATGGGTATCCATTAACTCTCTATACTAAATTTAGTAGTTTAAAAAAATTATTTTACAATAACTAAAAAGAATTTTTATTTTAAACTTTGCTAAAATATACTTTAATGCAAATCTTATTATTATTCAAAATTTTAGCTAAAGTTATATATAAAAATTTTATATAAATTAACTTTAAACAACTCATATTTTTTACAAAATTTGATATACTAAAGTTAGTATAGTAGAAAAAAATAATTAAAAATATAATTTATAATATAATAATAATAAGACAATTATCATTTATTGCCATAGCAATGCATCACCACCCCCTGATTAACCAATTATTTTGTTTGTTTTGATTTTATATTAATCAAAACAAATAGCGACTGTGTTATGATTAGAGTTAGTGGTTGGCAAAGCAGAACTTAAAAGGCCTTTTTAACCTAAAATTTTTTTTTTTCAAGAAAAAAAAGCAGTTCCATAGTCAAAATTTTATGTTAGAAACAATTTTTTAAAAAAACTTTGTTTTGCTTCAATTTCACATTACATCTGATCTTGCATCCTGATTGGTCAATCAGGGGTGGTGATGCATCGCCATGGCGATAAATAATAACTCTCTAATAATAATATAAATTATTTTTAATCTATATTTGATTTTAAAAGTGTAAAAAAATTATTAAAATAAATTAATAGATTTGTTATAAGGTAGTACAAATCTGTATATGGCTAAATTTACTTATAAATTTTATAGTAAATTAATAGCAAACTAATATAGTAAATTAAGCTAATATATATTAAATTTTTAACCAGTTATAAAGCTAGCTTTTCTGATAATAATAAAAATAAATTTATTAAATTTTTACCAAAAATTTCTAAAATATATAAACTTTAGTTTTTATTTTTATATATATTTTTAAATTATATATATATATGAATGTTGCTAATTTTTACTCTAGGTGATGTCACCTAGTTGTATAAAAACAAATCAGATAGCTAGATTTTGTATAACCAAAAACAAAGTGAGAAAAAGAAAATTTTAAAAAAACTATAATAACTCTAAATTTTATTATAAAAACTATATTTCAACTTCTAAGCAAAAGTTTTCAGCTTTGAATTTTACATATATAAATTCTTTTACACAAACCCTAACTCAACTTTAGCTTAAGCCTAACCCTAATCTTAACTACATGTAAATTTATTTTAATCTTCCTACTTATAATATGCTAATCTCTGTCACAAAAAAAAGTAATGGCCCCATAAAATACCCTGTGTCAGCAGGGGTATTTCATGGGTCTGTTACTTTTTTTTGTAACAGAGACTAGCATATCATAAGTAACTCCGTTAATCGGAGATTTTTAAAGTCCGCCTTAGTGGTGGCATCACGTGATTTTTGCCATTTTGCATTTCTGTGAAATTGACAAAA